TGCTTGATAAGACCCTTATTCATCGTAAAGCCCTTTGAACAGTTTGCACTGAAACTGTCTTTTGGACCTTGAATCGTTTGGACCCCATTGAAGTCCATTATATGGAGAAAAATCCTGGAATGTTTTCATCAAAAACCTTAATTTCTTTTCGACTGACGAAAGAAAGACATGGACATCTTGGATGACATGGGGGCGAGTAAATTATCAGCAAAAGTTTTTTTTTAAAGTGAACTACTCCTTTATGGTATTTATCTGACGAAATACAACTACAGAAATGCATAAACACAGCCATCATGTTAAGACTGTGTGTTACTGTATAATATATTAGTTTCATCTTATAAGTTGAATTACTGACATAAATGAACTTTTGCACGATTTAAGAGTTCACCTGCATGTATAAATATAAATACGCAAACACATTTTTTTATTCTGAGATAAACATTGATCTTTGCTTCCAGCTCATCAGAACTGATCAGAATATGTAAACATTTTTTGTTAAAATTGAATTTAGTTGCAATAAAATCTAGTCTCTAGACCTGTTTAGTCGTTTAGGCCATTGTGACCTTTGCCCTTTGGTCGGCTAAAGCAAAACCCAATTACAGTGACCCGTATTGAAGCTACAAGGACGGTGTAATTGTTGTGTCATTTCTTTGAGACACTTGATGAATCACCTTCATGGCTTCTCTGATAATGACCTGCGGTGTCCGGGGATTTGTAACCCGGTTTAAGTTTAGTAGTCGTGTGTTTTATCATGCGCACAGAGGGAAGAAACCCACGTTAGCAAACGGCCGCCACTAATCTGGGCTTTGAATGACCGCTCATTGATTAGTTCGTTCTAGTGCTTTCCTGAACTCAGAGATCAGGATCCAAACAACCCAGTTCTGCAGAAACTGAGTGAATCTCAGCATCTCACAATGCCTGTAAATCAGTTGTTCAGATATATATACACAACATGTGTCTGAAACCTCTGGGGCCGGTTGCAGAAACTGCTAAGACTAGTCTTACAAGTTAGTCAAATATATCTGATCATATATTTTTCAAGTCAGTTACATAAAAACATAGATTGGTCTAATTTGATATGGAAAAGTAAGACTGATTACCCACAGTCACAGTCACAGTATATATACTTCGAGAATACAACTGTGCAACATGGCTAAAGTTATATTTTTGCAACTTTTTGCAACATTTTCAGCCTAAAGAATACATATACATTTTCAGACCCCCAAAAAAACAACATTTTATATATATATATGTTGTTTTTTTGGGAAAATGTTGAAAAATATAACTTAAAAAAAAAAATATATATATATATATATATATATATATATTGTTTTAAGTTTATTTTTTTTTCAGTATATTATTATATTTTTTTAAGTTTATTTTTTTTTTCAGACCCATGAAAACAAAATTTTATTTATATGTTGTTTTTTGGGGCTGAAAATGATGAAAAATACTACAAAAAAATATAAATGTTGAAAAAATAAGCTGATGCACTTTACTTTGAGGATACGACTATGAAACGTGGCTAAAAATTATATTTTTCGACATTTTCAGACCCCAAAAAAAACAACATTTTATATTTATGTTGTTTTTGGGGCTGAAAATGCTGAAAAATACAACAAAAAAAATATAAATGTTGAAAAAATAAGCTAATGCGCTTTACTTCGAGGATACGACTGTGCAACATGGCTAAGTTATATTTTTCAAAATGTTCAGCCCAAAAAAGCTATATATATATACATATATAAACACATTATATATACATTTTCAGACCCAAAAAAACAAGATTTTATTTATGTTGTTTTTGGGGCTGAAAATGATGAAAAATACTTAAAAAAAAATACAAATGTTGAAAAAAAAAAGCTGATGCGCTTTACTTCGAGGATACGACTATGAAACGTGGCTAAAAATTATATTTTTCGACATTTTCAGACCCCAAAAAAAACAACATTTTATATTTATGTTGTTTTTGGGGCTGAAAATGCTGAAAAATACAACAAAAAAATATAAATGTTGAAAAAATAAGCTAATGCGCTTTACTTCGAGGATACGACTGTGCAACATGGCTAAGTTATATTTTTCAAAATGTTCAGCCCAAAAAAGCTATATATATATACATATATAAACACATTATATATACATTTTCAGACCCAAAAAAACAAGATTTTATTTATGTTGTTTTTGGGGCTGAAAATGATGAAAAATACTTAAAAAAAATACAAATGTTGAAAAAAAAAAGCTGATGCGCTTTACTTCGAGGATACGACTATGAAACGTGGCTAAAAATTATATTTTTCGACATTTTCAGACCCCAAAAAAAACAACATTTTATATTTATGTTGTTTTTGGGGCTGAAAATGCTGAAAAATACAACAAAAAAATATAAATGTTGAAAAAATAAGCTAATGCGCTTTACTTCGAGGATACGACTGTGCAACATGGCTAAGTTATATTTTTCAAAATGTTCAGCCCAAAAAAGCTATATATATATATAACACATTATATATACATTTTCAGACCCAAAAAAACAAGATTTTATTTGTTGTTTTTGGGGCTGAAAATGAACAAAAAACTATAAATGTTGAAAAAATAAGCTGATGCGCTTTACTTCGAGGATACGACTATTCAACATTTTCAGCCCAAAAAAGCAACACTTTATATAGGTTATATATATATACATATTTTCAGACCCAAAAAAACATTTTATATTTATGTTGGGTTTTTTTGGGGCTGAAAATGTTGAAAATTATAACTTTTAGCCATGTTTCACAGTCGTATCCTCGAAGTAAAGTGCATCAGCTTATCACTTCTGTTGCTGAACCCATCCTCCTCAGCTCCGAGGAGAAGAAGAAAGCAGATGAAGAAGTGCTGACAGCGCTACACGTGCCCCCCGACCCCCAGCAGCTGATCCCTGATCCTCAGGAGCTCACGGACCCACAGCAGTCTCCAGTAATGGCTGCACTCGGAGCTGATCTAATGACAGACATGTTAGATCTGGCTAAACGACAGACTCGCTGAGCTGGAGCTCTCCGAGATACAGGTGCTGGATAACACCACCAAATTATGTCAAAATGAAACATTGCTTGTCATTGTTTTCACTATAGTGATATAAATTGGACATATTGAAGTCAAGCTGGGTTATAAAAGAAACAAAATATGAAAGGAAACACAGTGTGTGTCCGCTACACGGGGGACAGAAACTGTCTCAGATTGCTTAGATGAGAATAGATGAGGCCATAGAGCACTTGTCACAAATAAATTATGACTGGCAAAACAAATAATGATTCAAGGTCAGCTCTGCTGCTACACTCACACACACACACACACTATGGTCGCAGCTTCTCAACACACATTAAACCAGCTTTTCCCGCTTTATTAAGAGTTCTTGATCAATTCGAACAGCTATAGTATTTTTAATCCCAGTCAGTGTCAGCCAATCACAACAGACTGAGGATCATACATCATTAATCGACGATATGACAGACGACACCCAGTTCATCATAATTAGAGTGATGATGTGGCATGAGTGATGGTTCTTAACACAGTCAACGTGAATAACTATTAAATCACTGAGGATTATTATATCATACATCCCTGACTGTGTTACGATCACTTCCTGTTTATTTCTCCTAGCTCAAGTCACACACACTCACTCACACACACAATCTCACAAACACACACACACACACACACTCTGTAGACTTCAGCTAACATTTATATTATACAAAGCACATACAAAATATAAATAAAAATGCTTAAAAACAAATTAGTAGCTAAAAGTATCATATTTCATCAAAAATATCCCTTATCTGTATTTCAACATAATCATCACTATGATGTTATTCAAATGGGAGCACACAACACTGAGGAAAAACTTTTTTCAGGTAATGTTAACCAAAAAAAATACAATATAGGCTAGCATATATGTTCTTCTAATCACACACACACACACATATATATATATATATATATATGCTAAATTAACTACTTTTATTTAAAAAAAAAGTTTTACATTACTTTTAAGTTTTTTTAAGACTAGGTCATGTCAAATATAATTATTTATAATAATAATTAATTTCACCTGAATGACATTAAGCAATATATAGGCCTATGTAATGGTAATAATTACTAGCTTTGTATGTCGATCAACAATATTTCGTGGTCAATGCTGTTGTTGTTCACAATATTTTCGTTTTTATTAATGTTTTAGTCTCTGACTCTTACTAGTCGAATTAAACATGTTATTGAATGACGTGTGCAATTTTTTACCTCATGTTTTGATCTCGGTGTGTTTTCAGCACCTTGGACAAGAGCGCGCGCCGCGAGGATTTCGCGCGCTGGGGGAAAAAGGCGCGTTTTGCGCGCGCGTCTTCTTCCGTTAAAAACAACACATGTAACGTTAATGGAACTGAAGTCAGAGCTTTATAAAGTTTAACTACTTTTAACTTGACTGTACTCTTGAAAACAGAGCCCACAGACTGAAGAAGAAAACAACAGCGACATTTACACCTGTTCATGTTCCTGTTAACCACACACTCACACACATGCGCGTGCACACACGAGCTGACAGCGGTCAGAAGAATAACATCTGATCTGATGTGATTAAAGACAAACGCGCTTTGCATGTTTAACATGTTAAAGTATAAGGTTCTTACTGTGAATACAAATAACGAAAAAGATGTTGACTTAATTGCGTCATCAGGGTCACAAACACCCTTATATAGAAATAGCCATATTTCCTCCAATATGGAAATATTACTAAATGTTGTCATTGAACAAAACCAGACACTTCAAGCGGAGGAACAGGATTAATTGCCCTGTTTCCTTTCAAATCTGATTTGTTGCGTCGTGTTGACTTTGATAATTCAGTTATACATGAACAAATAGGGAATGCATATCGCGGCCAATAAAACTTTTTGTATTCATTTATGAAGACGTCTGTGAAATGAAAACCAGTCGCAAGATCGCCTAAGTTGTAGTAATTAAAGTCGAGTACTTACATGTGAAAGTCCGCTTGTGAAAGTGCTCACACATGTCCTCTGATCAACAGAAAGAGCCACAGGAAAGCCATGACGAAAATCCCCAGCAAGCAAAATCAAGTTGCGTATTTAATGTTCCAAGTTCAGTCTGAAGTGAATCCACTCGCTCAAACACCGTTAAATTCCCTGTTCACTGCATCCTGAATGTGTGTGCCATGGATCCTCAGTTCACAGTGCTGAACACACACACACACACACACAGAGACTCCAGTGCTCGTGAAGTTGTGGCTCTGTTGGGAAGGCAGAGCAGTTTCTCCTGTGCATCTCAGTCTGAACTGATCTGAGATCAGCAGCAGTTGTTCATGTTCCGCCTCCTCCACGAACACCACCTGCTCTCCGGCCGCTTTAAAACACAGTTTGTTTGGTCAAAAAGTGAATAAAGTGCACTATGTTTTGGCATATTGTGGTTTTAGGTGTTGTAATGTAGGCTGGATGGGAGGACAGATGTTTTTTGTAGCGAATTGTCATCATTGTTATCTAACACAAAGGTGTGTGTGTGCGTGTGTGTGTGAGAGAGAGAGAGAGAGAGTGTGTGTGTGTGTGTTTGTGTGAGAGAGAGATTGAGTATATGTGTCTGAGAGAGAGAGATTTTGTCTGTGTGTGTGTGTGTGTGAGAGAGAGAGAGAGAGAGAGAGAGAGAGAGAAAGAAAGTGTAAGAGACAAGAGAGAGCGAGTGTGTGTGTGTGTGTGTCAGAGAGAGAGATAGAGAGAGTGTGTGTGTGTGTGTGTGTGTGTGTGAGAGAGAGAGAGTGTGTGTGCATATGACCGAGTGTGTGTGTGTGTGTGTGTGTGTGTGTGTGCGCATGCGCACATACAACTAAACACACACACACTCTCTCACACAAACACACTTATATATATATATATATATATACTGTATATAATATATACAGTGTATATATATATATACAAACGTATATTATATAAACACTTACATAAACACAAACTTTTGTTATGCAATTAATCACGATTAATCAGTTTGACAGCACTAATTCTGAAGTCAGGATTTGAGAGTTAATGCTGAAATGTGTGTGTGCATGGCTTTTATAATACCATATGTAGAGTGAGAAAAGGGTGATTCCTATTGGACAGAAATGCCTTCTGTATTAACTTACAAAATGTACCCAGTGTAAGATGTCTCAGTACATAAATGTGAAGTTTGTTCAACTGAGTGTGTGAATGATGTGGAATATGAGTGTGTATCTCCATCTATTGGTCAGACGAAGCCTTGCAGGACAGACTATATGGTTGTGTTTCAAACATCTAGTGAGTGATCTTAATTATGCATGTTGTTTATTACATACATCAGTGTGAGAAATGCACCATTACTTTATTTTAAATAATTACTGCAAGAAAACTGCATTTAAATACAATACTGTAAGCCTAACTTTCAACAACAACAGAGATCATTTTTGTATTATTATCTGCCGTCAAAACTCCACAGTGGGTTCATTTTAGACAAGAACATACATGATGAATACAAAAATGATGGGTTAAACTTTATTTTAAGGTGGCTGTAAGTACTGAATTACAGTTTTTCTGAATAACTGCGTTGCCTTGGCTCGAAATGCAAATGGAGGGCAGCAAGTTAATCTTAGTAAAGTAACTTTTATCAGTGCTATCGTTATTCTGTATGTTGTACGACATCACTAGCGTAAGGCAAAGTTTACATTGTAGGCTATAGACCATTTCAAAAGATGTAAACAACACTGGCCCAGAAGCACTTCCTGTTTCAGTTTGTAACCGTTTTCTTTATTTCACATGTAAAGAAAACATCTTAAAGATGTTTGTTTAAATTTTTGATTCAGTTTTAAATGTTCTGTTGGTTCTATTTTATCCCAGCTTTTATGTAGTGTTAAAAAACTGAAACAGGAAGTGCTTCTGGACCAGTGTTGTTTACATCTTGTGAAATGGTCTATATCATTTTCATACTGAAGTGTAGATAATACAATAATACGTCTTAAATGAATAAAGGCAACCTGTAACCCGTGGTTTTACTACATGTAACTGGGAGTACATCGATCTAGTACGTGTTCACGGGTGGTGGGACAGTCAATAGTTTGACTGCCGTTCCAGTGCACTTCCACGGGTAGCCGGTTGGAAAAACACGGGTTACAGGTTGCTTTGGAACGCAGCTTTGTGCCTCAACAGTCTTACATCAAACTGCGACTTTCTTTACTTTAAAATGTATCTTTTAAATTGACAAACATCATATGTGTGATTTCAGGGCACAATTCAAACGAGATCAAAATATTTGTTGTCTCTCGCCATTGACTTTTTCCAAATAAGGTCCCATGGTGGTCGACCGGAAGGGGAGGGACTGGAGTCACGTGCCGATTTTGGCGGGGTCTAAGCCGGTCGGCCATGATAGAGACGCTATCGGTTACCAACGGCGACGCGACTAAACATTCAAGAGCTCTTAAATTTTCGCGCATTTATTATTTTGGCAGGACAGAGACGGATCTACGAATACGAGAAAAAAAAGGAAGAAAGTAAAGCAATGCTAAAAGATAAGGCGAAAGAAAAGGGACCTTACAGGAACAAACTCACACAAAGTGCAAAACAGCTGCACTTGGAGAAGCAGCATCAATATATTTGTTCTTTTGTACTAATAACAGTATTATTAATTTATCATTATTATGTTGTCCATGCAACTTATGTTGTCCAAATATATATCTAGCCTATATATTTCAGTTCTCAATAAATATTGTTAAGCTATATCAAGTTGTTTCAAACATTTATTTCAATGAAAAAAAAGTAATGAACAAGACACTAAAACAACACTTTTGCATGTTCGTTAAGGCACAGCAAACAGTGAAAATCGTATAATAAAGGCTAAAGCAATCCAAGCAAATAAAGCAAACCAGCAATCCGGCGTCTCCTCGTCAGGTCAGAGACTCTCCCTGATGCTGTGTCCATTTCGGTAACCTAAAAAAACTGTATTCCATTGTTCATGTTTTCCATTATATCGTATGAGTTACTAGAACAGTTTTTAACGCAGCAGTGACTTCCAGGCATGGTAAAACAGTGCGAAATTTCGAGAACCTCCTCCCGAGTTAACAACACACGTAAACAAACATGTTTTGCCGTGGGAATCCTACCAACATGGCGGAAAGGGGAGGGGCTCTGTGCAATGACGTACCTCATCTTGAGTTGCAGACATACTTTGACTTTACAAAGTTTAGAAACATTACTCGTTACACAAACAGTCACTTTAGTTGTAACTCACCTTTGACGAAGTGAACACACGGGCATTTCCCCATTCGGCTCTTACCGACCGCAGACGTAGGTTTGCAAGCCGTTTTCCCGGAGTTTTTCGGTCAATTTCTAGCATTTCCCCCCTTATGAACACAACTTTTGGTACACGATAAAAACTCCTCGTGGTTTGATCGATTTAAAGCTACACTGTGTAACTTCTTTAGTTTATTCTTAGCTAAAAACACTTGTTCTTTTTAATATATGTGTTCATTGATGTATTTACTTCGTTCAAGTATTAACGTATTCTCGTGAGTGTATAATATGCCAATGAAAATACGAGTAATGGGTTCTAATGTCGGTCGCCGCCATGTTGCCCCTCCATCTTGAAAGTACATTAGCCAAAGAGGGACATACCCGTTAATTCAAGCTTCGCCTTTCGCGTGGCACCGTGTCGAATGTGAAGAGGGGGGTTGCTTGAGAGCCTGATACCGTATTTTCCACACTATAAGGCGCACTTAAAAGCCTTTAATCTTCTCAAAAAACGGCAGTTCGCTTTATAATCGGAGCGCTTTATGGATCAATTAGTTTTCGCCCACGAACTCGCGCTCGAGTCTATCTTATGCCCGCTTCGTCACACGGACATAGACTGGTTCAACCTCGTGTAAATCAGGTTATGTGTGTCTCCCGCTCACTAACAGACACACGAAAAGGCACACTGCCCCCGGTGCTACTCGCGCGTGTTCTGCTATACATGTTTATTTTATATTTAAAGCCATATTCTATTTAAAATGTAGGATTTTATACAATTACGTTTTGCTTTCACTAAATGTCTCTTTGCGCCACCTGGTGGTCATTTCGCTACCGTCTTTGTGAAGCGCAAACACAGACCGACCTTGTTACCATTGTAGAATCAGGAACTGGAGTTCAGAGTTCATTTCTGGTATGAAATGAGCAACAAAAAGCCAAAAGCCTTTAATCACTTGACAAACAAATAATTTTTCATGATTTTATTTTTTAACTGTATTGGTTAAAGATGTATTAATAATTACAGCATTGTTTAGTAATTGTTGCGCAATCATCAGACTTATTAATATTATCCTTTATTATTCAAGTAGTAATTATCATAGTTAAATTATTACTAACAATTCAGAACTATTAAGTGCATTAAAAAAAAAAAAATCAAACACGAGGCGTTTACAAGGAAAAGCTACATAACTCGTGTTTCCAATGTGCCTTATTTTATAATCCGAATGCAATAGGCAAAGACAAAAGGCAAACTACAGAGCCAGACATTAGACATAAATAAATCCAGACAGTGTCAACATTCAAATGAGCTCTGCGGTCGTACTCCGAGGTGAGGAACAGAGAAATATGGGACATTGTCAGCCTATAAAGGAATATTTCAGGTTAAATACAACTTAAGCTATAAAAGCAGAAATATTAAGGATGTACAACACAGATTATTCAGTAAAAACGTTATTTAACTTGTGTATAGTTCGATAAATCATCTGAGACTAAAATTAGGTTAAAATAATAAAATCTGGGACAGCGAGCCCCACAAAGAGCTCAAGTTGTATCCCTGTAATATTCCTTTAACTACAAGTGACGTGTAACATACAATAATACGTGTCATGTCCAATCAGAGAGTGCACATAAAGGAATCCTCAGTGTCTCCAAACCCGATCAGTCCTTCAACGATTCTTAGCAGCAACATGTTCAAGAATTTATGAGAACCAATTCCATCCGAAGTGAGAACACAAACCTAACTTAGTTACAAAGGGAAAACGAGCACTGTGATGTTCAGCCCTTGTCTCTGTGAAGTTAAATACGGTCTAATATTATCATAAAGTCACTGGATGCTACATGGGTCAGACGTACGCCCTTGACTCGTGGTTTATGCCATTGTGCGCTGAAAAGATGGAGCATTTGTGAACTCTTCTTAATGAAGGACGACTCCACCGATGGCTGTTAGGAATGACTACATGGTTTAGAGGTCGCGACTCGCCC